CCTCTAAATAAAAAATGGATGACGGAGGAGACTCATCCACGACCTCCGACACTAAACTCTCCTCCTCTTGCATGTTTCCTCTGTCCATAGCGTTCCTTGACAGCGTTGTTTCTAAATCACCAATGTAGTGCTACTTGGTCCCAATGGAATTTCCCATTGGGAACCTGCTAGCGCTAAGTTGCTAACTGGTTAGCAAGATGCTTCCTACAAACCGGCCACAACCAAACTTACCTGTGAACTTTCCACCACAATAATGCCGCCCCCTTGATAATCGACCAATCACATCCACTCTATTCACTCGTCTAAAGTCCCTACGATTTTAAATGTAAATTGCCTTATTCCATTAGCAAAGTGTATCATTTACCTGCTTAATACAAGAAAAAAATGCTCTTATTTTAAGAAAAATAAACTTACTTAGATTTACATTTTTTGCTTTGTACATTAACATTAATTTTTACCATCAAAACATCCATATTTTTTTAATGTTACAAAAGTAATAAGGGCTGGATTCCATTAACACTATTGGCTTGAAATTTGGATTTTCAAAGTATTTCACTGAGCGTCCTGTAAAGGGTTAAACTAACATGAGGCTCCAATATTTAATGCAACACCGACACCAACACAGCACGACCATCACTTATGGTGATAAATCCACGCTTCCCCATCCATGCTCTGAATACGTTTAAGATGAGTAAACATGGTTTTATTGAGTAAATCCGTCTCGTGTCTCTGATTTTTTTTTTTTTTTTTACCTCTCGTTTTTATTTGGGGTGGAAACATGGAGCTGAAACCGGTGTTAGACTGAAGTTGCATCATTCGAGAAGCATTTAAAACATTTATCCCAAAGGTTCGCTTCTCATATCTCTGGCTTCATGTGACAAGAGAACAAAAAAATGCAATGCAGACACAGTGGGAGGAACCCCCCCCCCCAACACCAGCAAACACACACTGCTGCCAAAAGCAAGTATACTGATGCATTAGTTTTATTAGGAAGGTTCCGGAAAACCACAATATTTTCATTTAATGGGCTTAAAGCAGCAGCTGCCCGGGGGGGATTTAGCAGAAAGGGGGCTGGGCAGCTTGGCAGTCGGTGAATGTGGGGGTGTTTGTTCCTGGGGGG